CTCTATTTTTCTGTATGAAGAGGTTGGTTCGAGGTTTTTAAATTTACTTGAGTGTTTATCTGTGTCATAATTTCACTGTTGCTTTCCACTCCAACCCTCTTAAATTTTCCACCATATTATGTGTATACTCACTGTGTTGTTGTTCGATCATGTATTCTGCCTCTAGTCCATGCTTGTTTCTAAGCAAAATCGTACGCTATCTTGTCTAATTATACTGTAAATAGTTAGCGTTTCAACACTGAATAATTTGTCTACTTACATCATTTCGGAATTATATTGCTCATACTTTCTATCCATAATTCGACGTCACTGTTGTGACAAAAGTATGTTCAGAGCTTTTGTAACTTATATTTTGATATGACCGAGAAGTAATTTGGAAACTACTTCAACACTACGGCGTGCAGTGCCAAAATCTTCATCAACCTCATTCAATAGCCACATGACAATGCCACCTGTCAGATGATCCACAACGGAAAACTCAGCGAGGCCTTCTGTTGAAGTGCATACAGGAGTAAGACAGGGCTGGTTGCCTATCATCGCCGATGATATTCTTAATTGTGGTCAACTGTATTATGCGTCAGACTGTGGGGGGCGAGGAGTCAGGAATACGCTGGATCACTGATAAGAAGACTCTGGAAGATCTGGATTCCGCGAGTGGATGATATATGTATAATGTCACACAAACTCGAAGACTTACGAACTGTATGAAGATGTGGGCAGCAAAGGCAGGACTCCAAGTGAACGTAGAAAAGACGGAGGTGATGAAGATAACCGACGAACTTTAACAACAACAACAACAACCAGCACCAATCTCTGTCAACGGGAGAGATTTGACGTAAGTTACTTCCTCCGCTTATCTGGGAAGCATCGTTTCAACTACAGGCGGAACGGATGAAGATGTCAAGGTCAGAATCGGGAAGAAAAGATAAACCTTCATCAACCTGAAACCAATTTGAAAATCTTTTGCTGTCAGTCAGTATAAACAACAAGATTCGGATTTTTAACACCAATGTGAAGTCACTCAGTTCTTATATACGGGTCAGAAACTTGCACTGCGCGTCACGAGAAGCATTTCCAACAGGCAGCAGACTTTCATAAACAGCTGCCCGCTTCGCTGGCTCCACGGTGAAGAACAAATGGCTATCCAGAAAGAATTAGTAGCAAGAAACTGTGGGAACAAACCAACCTAGAGCCGATCGCCCAACAAATATGTAGGAGAAAGTTGAGATGAGTGGGGCATAGGACATAGCGCGTCAGGCTGCAGCTCGAGTGGAACCTGAATGGGAAGCGACGAGAGGGTCGTCCTAGGGTGATACGGAGGAGATCGTGTGAGGAGTAGATGAGAGATTGTGGGCAATCGTGATCCAAGCTGAAGAGGACGGCAGAAGATAGGACAAAGTGGAAATGTGTTGTTGTAGCTGTATGTTCCGCTCGGAACTCAAGGAAATAATAATAATAAAATTTTGATATTATTTAGGATGTAGGCAGTTTAAAAGAACTGTAGAAAAATAGAACGAACCGGCATCACCCTGAAAACATATTCGTTCTTTCTTTGTTTAAGCTATTCTTTGTTTCCACTTTCCATCATGTTTTGAATAACGAATGGTGTTTTGAATGCACGTATCGTCAGTTGATTAATGAATGAATGCTGTGTTGGTGAAATGAAAAGATTTCAACCTTTGTATATGCCAGCACAGTTTGTTCCCAAAAGACTGTGAACATGACTCAAATTCAGTTACGAATATGAAAATATACCTCATTAATGTAGGGTTTCTATCACATAGACCAACTGTCTTGCTTTTGTTTTCTCTACATCTACTCAAAATTGATTCGGTTGTAAGGCTATTATCTATCTGGTATCCTAAGACATAAATAAAGCAATAGAATCACAGGTCAAGTAGGACTTGAAAATAGATTACCTTACAAAGGTCAGCTAGCTTATTTCTAGTGTCTGCTGAAGCATCCATTACCAATGCTCTATATTCATTCACATGAAATGGTACATAGCACACAGTTTAACAACAGGATGGCTTTTGTATTACTGAGGAATTTTAGGGATATTCTAGAGTGGACGATATCATCCAGTGTACCTAAAAGCATAAGTCAAATAAGATATGAGATCTAGGTTCCTGTTGTGTAGTGTGTGTCTAAGAATTAGCAAAACTTGTAACTAATATTTATGAGGTTACTGAAGCATCCCTATCACGTCTGCTTTTTGTTTCAATAGATATTGAAATCTCCGGCTGCAGCACTATATTTACTTCAAATAATTATTTACTGTTGGTCTTTTCATATCAAAATAATGAAATCTAGCAAGTTAGGCTTACTAGCCAATCACCCAAATTGTCCGGAGTTCAAGCCTTGGGCAGACTCACTCCTAAACCGCGCTTATGTGGGAGTAAGCCCAGTAAATAGGCGAGGTTAGGGGTGAGGTAAACAATCCCATCCGGTGAAAAACATCACTGCAAGCTCAAGCTTGGAGCCCTATGTATTATATATATATATATATGTATATAGTTAAACTTGTAAGTAGATGAAGATCTTGCCTACCTTCCAATCTTTCAACAGTGACAGTCATTAAGGCAGTACATAAGATAAGCACATACCTATTTCCCCTAAAAATGTATTTTGTTATTCAGTTCATGAACTCAGCATTTAGCACATAAGTTAACCAAAATACACTGAATCATTGTGTGTGTGAGTATTATACCCTAACCTTACTATACACTGTCTCATGGAATTCGATGATTATGAAGAATATTTATCTGGATGGTTACAAAAATTATCAATATGAATGACAAGAGAAATTATAACATGTTACAAAGCGAGCACATAGACCATTAAGCCACTGGGACCCAGTCCAATGGCCCATGAATTCCAACTTCTGCCAATTCACGACATAAGGTCCTGGGTTGGAACCCTGGCGGTAGGTGCATTCTGATGAAGAGTTCCACGGTAGGACGAAACAGCTGTCCAGTACATCCAGATTTTCCAATGGTTCTCTAACAGATGTCAGATTATGATGAAATCCTGGAGCCAATCAATCAAATCCCTACAAACGAATACTAGAAATTATAACAACTTGTATGACAAAAGCTTAGGATAAATGCGGTAATAATTAACCGGCTGAATTAATGTTTTAACGTTTTTTCTCTCCTCAAGAAGTTGACATCATCATGCCCTACCATTTGTAGATTTATCTCAGTTATGTATTCCTTACTTCATATATTTGAAGCTTTAAAAGTTTCAGGAGTAAATTTAATATAAATAATAACTTAGGTAGAACAGAAAAAAGCGCATTACATATTTTAAGTAGCAGTGTGCAGAATCAAAAGCTGTGATTTTTAATGCTATAAAAGTATTAAATACCACGCATAGAACATATGTGTGTCACAAACAATAACAGTATACTATGTAAAGAAATATTCATTTTCTGATAAATTATATTCGGCATTATTATCAGCATCAAAAAGTACCTAGGGTATTTTCAGCAAACTATATACTTTTGTGATTTAAAACAACCCGATACATTTCTCTAATACAAGTAGTAGAGTGAATCCTTAGTCATTATGTATAGTTTTTCGTATCAGTCTGTATATATACCTACCTAAAGATTTCAAAATTCCTCAACTACTAAACTATGCTACCCAAAATTTTTGTCTAACAGTGTTGAAGTGAAGCGTATGAAACTCACTCGGAGATATTGCTTGATATGCATTAAGTTATGAAGTTTTCATTTAACCAGTTGACGTTGACTTGTTGGTTTAACTTATTAAGCCAGTGATTGACAGGTAAAATACAAACTATACAGTAAATGGGTAAAATGGTTGATAATTCAGGGGAAATTTTGAATCACTTTCCACTAGTGTCTTCACGGAAGTACGTTTTGCACTCAACTGGAAATAATTACATATTCCGTGATATCGATTAACTCTTCAGCACCTTACATCTGATTTTCTAACTAAGTTTGTAAAATATATCATTACTAAGAATAGAAAGAGGGTACTTCCTTCACTTATCTAGGAAGTATCGTTTCAACTACAGGCGGGACGGATGAAGATATCAAAGGCAACCAGATTCGGAAAGGCAAGATACGCCTTCATCGCTCTGAACTCAGTTTGGAAATCCTCTGCACTCAGAATAAACAAAAAAATTCAGATTTTGAACACCAATGTTGGGTCACGCAGTTCTTCTATATGGGTCAGAAACTTGGTGCGTCACAAAAAGCGTTCTAAAAGGAATACAGACTTCTATCAACAGCTGCGTCGTGGGATGAAGGATTTCTGTGCTAGATTAGCATCGGTTGGTGTGTCACGACTCCCTGGTTGGGGTCTGAGAGATAGCTCAAATCGATGGCTCGAAACGTTATCGGATATGGCCAAGAATCGTAATCAATGGCGAATGTGTTGCGATTTCCTTCTTTCTTCCATTCCCGATGATAGTTAACGAACACTGTTTGAACCTGTTAAGAATGAGTGTTTTCCTTCCAGATGAAGTTCTTTATCCGTTCTCTACTTATATATATTTTTTCTTTTCCTGCCTTCCTTCCTTTTTTTTCATCTATGTTGTTTTATTATTATTGTGTGGCGCATCCTTCTTGGTGCCATATTGTACCAAGTTCTAATGCGTTTAAATAAATAAATAAATAAATAAATAAATCAACAGCTGCCTTCACTCCATATCTAAGATCACCTGGCCAGAAAACCGTCGAGTGGCATCGAGTGGAACCAAAAAAGAAGTTAACGATGAGTGAGCCGTTCAAGGGTGACATGGAGGAGATCGTGCGAAAAGAAGTTTGGAGACCATAGGCAGTCGTAGGAACAGATGAGGAGAGTCGCAGAAAATAGGACAAAGTGGAGATGTACTGTTTAAGCGCTATGTTCCACTCGGAACCCAAGGGAACAATAACAATAATAGCAAATCAAAGTAACTCTATACAAAGTTATAGATTATTTAGAACTAAAGTAAACTGAAAAGTGACAATACCATGAAATATTTACCTCATCATCAAGATTTGTGTTTTCCAGATTCAAGTACTTAAACTGAACATGTCTGAAGACATTTTCAAGCATATCAATATGTCCTTCATTAAGCTGGCAACCTAAAACAAAGATAAAGTATTGTTATCATAGAATTTAAACACTGTAGTAGAGTATAATTCTATGTCATATAGGTTTATTTGATATAACACACAGTTGTACAGGATGAATAATATGAATGACATTTTGAGCACATTTCATTACCCATATGATTATGATTATCAATCCTGTATCCCTGTGTGTATTATATTTACTAAGCTCGTCTAACATAAAGCGTTAAACTCATTAATAGTTTACCTTTAAGATCGAATAAAGGTCTTCGAGCCAATGACTGTGTAAGATCTATAGACTACAAACGTCATTTTTGCCACAGATTTACCTCCAACTGTAGTATAACACTGTACAAAGGTTGAATCTTAGACGTATCACAACGAAGTTTATAAGTGGAGATTAACTCTTGAGGGGACAGACGTCGTCCTAGAATTGAAGTAGGATACGATTAATACACATATATATACATTTATGACTTACTATTTAACCAAGGATTTTCAGGTTCTATTGCTTTTGTAACTAAGTCATTCACTGCGGGAAATTTGACTGATTTTTTACGAATTTGCTCAAGTGTAACCGGATTATTTTTGTCTTCTTTCCCAACAAGAGCTAAGCACACAGATGAGCTACCTACATTTGTGTACAAAAAAAACAACAGCAACAATTGAGGTATACTTGGCGTCTAATGAAAGCAGATATTAAGGAGAAAAGTTAACTATATAATACTTAAATTATTTGTATTTATCACATTATTGGTATAAAATATTTCGAGAGCATTTTTCTGTAGTAAATTTAAAACAGGCAACAAATGTGAAAAAGCAGTATCTAATGAATTCGTAAATTTCCATAGAATTTGTTAGTTAAATACTCTACAAATATTGTTATTTATATAAGTATTTTGTAGATAAGGTGCGTCGGTGGCACAGCGGTAGAATGCTCTCCAGCCATGCAGGTGGTCCGGAGTTCGATCCCCGGCCGACGCACTCCTTTACCTCGCTGTGCCAGTAATAGGACTGGCAAAGAGGGAAGGTTGAGGCTAGCAACGCCATCCCGTAAGAATAAATAAGCACCACTGTTACTGAGACTTCAGGCCTGTAGCTTGAAGCCATATCTCCCACTGGGAACGTAAAGGAAAAAACAATTGGAAGAAAGTCTGAATAACAACCCACTGCAGACGACAGAATAGCTGTGAGGCGAATTTTCCAAGAGAAGCTAATCTAACAATGAGTTGCCTATAAGAATGGATTCTTGTGTTGCTTAGCTAACCCTATTAAACCGCGAAGTAAGATAACTGTACTCCAGTCCAACAGAACTTAAAACAGAAATAAGTAAGTAATATAACAACTAGACATCAAAACATGAATATAAAGTAAGTTGAATTGAAACGATTGTGCTGAGAATTCTTGCATATAGAAGTATAACTTCTCCCCGGAAATATGTCTTCTAATCACTTTCACTAATGCTAAAGGCAGTCAATTTGCCATGTGCAAGATTATTCCAAGTAGTATTCGCAGATATGTCTACACTTGAATGGATGATATAAATACTTTTTGTTTGAGTTGAATTTCTCTAGGTAATTCAGCCCTAGTGGCCAAATATTTTGTTGGAGTATATATTTTCTAATCGATATTAATTGTAGATGTTCCGTTACGAAATTCATTTCTTTAATTTCCTATGTTAATTTAGATAAATAACTCTACACATTAACAAGGACTAGACATGCTTTTAAATGTAGGTAGAATGAAATATTATGCGTTATGAGATTTTCACTATGGTAGTGACACTAAATATATAAGTTTACTTCATGTAATTCTATTCACGTGATTCAACTAATATTTGTAATGGCTATCAGAAAATAGTGTCTGTCACGCAAGGCCCATAAATCCTTAAGTGTAAAACTGAATACTACTGTAATTGCGAGTATAACAAACAGGTTCATGTTAAAGCAGACACGAAATTATAATCTAATAACCTTAAAGAGCAATACATGACACTGATAATAAGGTTAATGTGTGCTAATTCTATCTGTCTACTTAGGTTTGCATTATTCGAATATCGTGCGTTCCACTAAGGATAGTAGACGTCCAGTGACTGCTAAAAGATTACAGCAGTTGCCATCCAGGGTCTGGTAACTTTTAACATTATTTACCCAATATTGGAGTTCTTGGCTAAGCACCCATTAAAGCCTACGTCAACATTTTTAATGGACATATGTAAGCTTGCATTGGTTCTGCTGTGAAACACGTTCCAAAAATGAATAACGGTTATCTAGATTTATTTATAACTCACTATAATCTTATCCAGTGTAAGCAGAACCATAAGGACGACAGCAGAAGTACATAAAAAAAATCTGAAATCATTAATTCTAAGAGAACAGATATGTTGGTCGAAAATGAAAACTGTCTACATTTAAACGTTTCGCACATGCTAAATCTTGTTGAATAGTACGACAGTAACAAAATCGATCTTCATCAGTTTACGTTTGAGCTTCAGTAAATGGGATTCACTGAATTTCAACTCATAATTTTATAGGAACCAAATTTCTGACTCATGAGAACCATGTCATGCACTTGTAACTTTTGCAAATATTGTACTCGGCTGGGTTCATTTGGACTTTTTCTAATTGTTCTATAAAAAATTACGTCAATACTGCTTTGAGAACTATGTTCTTGTCACAAACTAAAAGGTACCGATAAATTTAGCACAGTTCATCATTATTTCCAACGCAAAATTACTCGAACAAGTACTTTTGAAGACGTAAACTTCTGCACTAAGCCAATGCCTCTACAAATAGTATAACATTTTGGATCTTTTTCTGTTAGGGGAGTTATTTTAGTAAATGCCAGTTAAGTGTTTTATGTTATTATTCCTTTAGATTTAGAGAGGAATACAAGGCCCTAGCCTCATATCTTCATTTCACCTCATTCTCTACAGACCGTTTTAGCTGAATTCACAATTCGCCCATAAGCCTTCGCTTCCTCTTAATACGTCGTTTCGGATTAGGGTTCTACACTGGAGCCTGGCACGCAGTGTCACTCACCAGTCTTCTCAATGTGTGTTCTATCCATCTCCATTCTCTTCTGCACCTGTGTATGACGATACCTTATGGGTTGGTTCGTTGCCAGGGTTTCTCGAGGCTTAAAATTTATGGCTGGTCACTTGATCTTCAGTGTAGAGCCAGTGAAGACAGCTAGTAATAAAGGTTTTCAGGCTTTTAAAAGTGCTTTTTGTGACACGCAAAGTTTGTGAACCATTTAGAAGTAGTGATTTGACAATGCAGTTGAATATCCGGGTCTTGTTACGCATGCTGAGTGCAGAAGCTTTCCACACTGACTGCAGATTGATTAGCGCTTGTTTTACTTTCCCAGCCCGATTCTGGCTTTGACATCCCTTATCTGTGCCACCAGTAGTCGAGACGATTATATCTCGATAAGCGAAAGAGATGACTTCCTTTGGATTTTTCCAACTGGTGTCGACTGATGCTTGCTATTGTTGGTTAGGTATCTTCACCAATTCTGTTTTCTCTGTCTTGGTTAAAGGACTACCTAGCTGAAAGGCAACTTTGCACTAAGGTCAATCGAGTCCGATCATCTTGGCACAGCTCGTCATCAAGAGTGCAGCAGGGTTATATCCTAGGACCACTAATGTTTTTGATTTTTATCAATGATCTACCATGCCGTCTAAGCTGACCGACTCTTCTATACGCTGACGACGTAAAGATATGGATAAAGTGTCCGGAGGACTCAGATAGGCTACAGGAAGATCTAAACCTTCTGGAAGACTGGGCGGTGGCCAATGGCATGACTTTCAACCTGAAAAAGTGCAAAGTAGTAAAGTTACGCACCTGTAGACTGCAGAATGCAAGTTACACCCTGTGCAATGAAAGCTTGTCCTGCAAAACATCGGAACGCGACTTATGTCTAGTTCTAACGGAAAAAACGGACACAAGCGTAAATTACACGGGGGACGTAGCGAGGGCATATGCATACACTTTACACATAGACAATTAGGTGCACTCACTCCTGAGCTCTTTCTAAGGTTGTATAAAACATACGTCAGACCGCATCTTGAAGTGCATAATATCATTGCACCCCCACTGCTTAAAAGAGACGCCAACCTTTTGGAAAGAGTCCAACGACGGGCAACAAAAGGAGTGGTTGGTCTCCGAAATAAACCATATGACGAAAGGCTGAAGAAATTAGGCCTATTCACACTTAGTTACCGTCGTCTTAGGGGGGATTTAATTACTGCCTACAAAATAACAAATGATCAGAATCACCCAAACAAAGGTGTTCTGCCATTGAGTAGGTATAGGCTCCCTCGTGGAAATCCTAGAAAGATAGCTCATCAGAGGGCAAGGACCCGGGTGCGCTCCCACTTCTTTTCCCTGCGGGTTTGCCGTCCCTGGAATTCCTTACCGGTAGATGTAGCTATGGTAGAGTCTGTGGACACCATTAAGCGAAAGCTGGACAACCATGCAGTGACACAAGGACTGCATCCAAATGGCCTATCCCCTTAAAGTCGCATACACCATTCAGGGGTTGACAACTAAACTCGTAGTTTTACTTCTTCACATTCTCTTCCGTCTTACTCTTCTGACAACTTTAACTACACCTATTACTAATTTCATTATTACCGGTATATATATATATATGTTATTCATATTATTCTTCAAATTTATTCAGCTGACTGTTGTTACGTATTCTTATTTCTTTTTCTGTCTGTTAGTCTGAAAAACCTCACTAATTATATAAATTACTATTACCTCTTCTCTTTTGACGACGATGCCGGAGGACTAACTAGTGAAAGGAACAACTCTATTCACAGTAGTAACAGTCTTAACACACCTCATACTAAAAACCACATAATTAATCCCTGCACTACCCCTTTTGGAGTTAACCAAAGCTACGACAGTTGAGTGGCGGGACGAGCTACGTAGAATTTCACCGAAGATCAGGAACCTATACCTCAAAATCAAAAGGCGAGCACGAAGAAATCAAATTGGTTTATACCAGCTAGTAAAACCGATATCGGATATTGGATACTAGTGAGTAATCATCCTTATTCTTGAATACACATATAACAAAGCGAACAAAATCAAGTGATTGGGTTTCATTTTATTGTGGTTGAACTGACCATTAGATAAGAAAGTTTAAAGGCAATCTTCAAACATCAGCATTTGAAGATTCCTTCTAAGAAGACTTACTGACGACGAGAAATAATGACTATGTAAAGTACTAGAAGCATTAATGTAATGATAACACAAGGCTTTTTTAGTCTCGTCAAAAGATTATTATTCCTTGACGGTTACAAAGGTTCAACTTCGTCGATAGTGACTACAAATGCATACATGAATTAAGAAACAAAGACAGAAAGTTGACTCTACTTTGCTAAAACAAATAAGGTGATTAGAGAAATGAAAATGTTTTTTCTCAGCTATAATGTATCCTTTTTAGGGCTTGTCGCTTAAAAAAATTTGAATTCACGAACATATATTTTTACACTGACTTATAACTGCTTACACTTATTATGAGAACAGGCACGAAATGTTTACTTCTGAATTTGACTTGAGATGTTATTATAATAGGCAGGAAAATTGTGGTGAGCATAGGTCCCAAAACTTTTTCAGACTTATTGCAGTGGATACAAATACATTCCTTTCCTACTTATGGGAATCAAGGTCTTTTCAACTCTAGATAAATTACAGAAACATTCTTTTTAAAAACGCATGTATTAAGTCAAAAACAGATGTTATCTTGTTTAATTGAACCAATTCCATAAAATTAATCACTGTAATATGCCTGACACAAAAACTTACGCTGTTGTTTATATTCAAGACCGTCCTCAACCATAACGATAACAAGAATGACATTTCGTATTACCTCTAGTAGAAAAATTGCGCTACTATTTCTGTGCGAAAAAACAAAACAAGCTAAGAATCATTCTTAGGTGTCCTCATGAGTCCTCACAACGTCAAATATATAGAAATAGATTCATAAGTATAATTCTACTTCCGAAATGCATTAAATGGTTGAGACACTGGTCATCAAACTGTGGTTATAACATACAGGGGATATATATATGTCATTCGAACATCATTCTTATAAAACCTCAAATCGGCAGAAAAGTAAGAAAAATCCAATAATCAATCAACCGATGACTAGCTATAGGTCGACGTTCTGATGTTCATCGATAATCTAGTGATGAGAAACAATTGTTATGCCATCAATAGTGAACGGTTTCTACTGCAAACTTGGGATAATTGAGCTGTAAGCCACAATACGTCCGCTTTACACGGGAAATGTGTCTCTCCATGTGTAAGGCAAACCACTGAGCGTTATTTCGAGATCGAAAAGTGATGGAATAAGTTCAAATGTGGTCACAATTCCGGTTATAACATGATTGCCTACCATCATAGAATCCTTCTGCTACAAAAAATAGGTTAGATTAAATCTGCAACGGCTATCACTAACGACATACAGAAAACAGGTGTGGTGTTGTAGGGGACAATTGCAGCCATTTTTGGTTTTGCGAACCAACACCTGACTGATATCGAAACCTCGTGCTTTTCGATAGAGAAAAATGATGACTGAGAAAATGAAACAACAATTCACTTAACGGTACAAGCCGGATTGAAGGTGGCTGAAGAGAGTAGTTCCTGGTAAAAAACGTTCCAAAATACGTTGAACCCTCTATACAAAGGTTCGGAGGCATAAAGAGCACGTTAGAAAATACTAACGTAGAACTTCTAGCTCATGGACAGATGTAATCACTGGTTAAATTGTCTACAAACTACAGCCTTGATGTACGCTTGATGCCTGTCTCGTCATACCTTTATTCGTGTTATTTTGAATTCCAAAGGATGTGGAGTAAGACTGCAGTATAATTCGCATATTGTTTTTCAGGTAACTAGCTTTCTTTCACCAAAACCTACGATAACTTTCAGGTTTCCCCTGTATGAATCTTCACTGACAATTATACAGAACCTGTAAAAGTGACTTGATAGCATTTAAAAGAATCCATTTAATGTGGCTTTCTGTGATTATCGTCAGCTTTCATATAATAACCATTCCATGTGACCACAACCAGTACTCCGAATGGTCTTTCACTTGTTTCTAAACAGTACCACATAGGTTAAAGTGTGATGTACACTGAAAATTCAGATGATTTATGGTGGAGCGAAACTTCCCATTGTAGTCTCCTGGGTAATACTACCTGGACGAATCTAATCGATGAATCAGCCCCTCAGAAGCGCAAAGTAAGGACAATAGCTCAAATGCTGGTAGAGAGACCGGCTTACAACCATATTATGAAACATTTGAATAGAAACAGCAATCGTCACGGGATTCAGTGCGGTTCAGCATCTTTCGCAGCATGAGACAGATGGGAAGCATCCTGGTCCATTTACCATTCTTTGGCCTTCTCTGGAAGGCCCTCAAAGTGGGAATCGGCAACCCATTGCTGTACTAGGTTGTAGCCTACCTGTAAATTAGGGAGATCTGTGCAAAGGAATTTCGCTTACTGTTTTCAAGGAATTTGTAAGGAGTTATGTTATATCAGAATTCGACGAATAATCTTCCACATACGTAGGTGTTGTTTTATTAAGAAGACTGTGAAAGGTGAGGATCATTTGTCGGGGTTTCTGGAATACCTAAAACCCAAAGGCTGGACCACGGAAAATGGATCGACACAACGTGGATAAATGTTGAGTCGTGTTTACTCCTTGGTAAGTGTATTCGCTTAATGTTTATGTAGGACTGTCCCATCAAACACAAGTAAAAACGTGATAGTAGTCTGCTGATGATGAAAAAATTGCACACAAGCAGTATATCCATAACAGACGCAACGGAAACTACCACGTCATTGTACTACGATGTTGTGCAAGCATGGATAAGTTTTACTTAAATTATATAAATTTGGTTTATGGTAAGGTTACATGGTTGCTGTCGTTCTTGTTTTTAATTTGTGAGAGCAATCTGCTAACTAGTCATTGAATGGGGCACATCAAGAAATAAAGAATTATTGTCTTCGCGTTTACAAAAAAAACAAGTATATGTTGGATGGATTGCAAATACTTGGTAAATATATAAAGTCTGAACTCATTTCCCCCACATAACTTTGGCGTGCACGGCATCGAATCCTATTCTTCGTTTAAATCCAAATTAGATATTAGTTTAAAATGAGTGATGTATATACATAATTTTGTCAGCATTTTCACTGTAATTAATATCAAGAGTGAATCGTACTCGATGCAGACTAATGTCGGTCAAAACCAGCCATATTCGTTTTACCGCGCTGGGGTCAGCTGCCTTTTGTTGCTGCATGGTTGTTCTGTACGAACAAGTCGATTAACACGTCGAAAGCTATTCGTAAACCATTTTAGGTAATGGATATTGTTTGTATAGGATGTTATACAGGGACTTTTCAAGTATGTTGAGTTATTACGAGCCAAAAGCTGGAAGGATAATGTGGTACATATAAGTAATTGGCCTCAAGTCCTGTTTAACTTCAATCTTACTGAAGATCTGAGTCATGTACCTGGGTGCACTTGCAGTTGGACAGCTAATGCAGTTGCACAGAAGATATGCAAGACTACATTTACCCCCATTACTCCCGTAGAGGAGTGTCAGTGTCCTAGAAAACGTTGGAAGAGGAGCAAATTAAGTTTTAATTCGGCTGAAAAACCAGTTATAGGCCGACCGACTCTGAAAACTCAACTCGTGAGCACTCGGATGTTATAACATCAGTAGTACTAAACAGATGTCTTCAAAGTCGTGGACAACACCCACAACCGCAAGGCATAGCGGCGACCTAGGAACAACTAGTGTTAGTGAAACCGACTCATTTCAGATTTCCTTTCCTTTGGACCTATAGTTTGCTGCAGCTGATGTGACCAGCCCTTCTTATTTTGGGGCTTCAGCAGAAGGCCAGTTGACGACGCCAAAAGAACAGTCAATCTACTAGAGGAGCTGCACAGCTCATAACTTCTCTTTACATTTTGCACAGCTACCCATTTTTCAGTCAATATTGTTCAAATTTTACTTGCCTGTTTTTCTGTATGCTCCCAATAACTCTTCTCTTTCTTCTCTTCTTTTTTCATTTTTCCTTACTTTACATTGTTCCTTTGCTTACCTTTGCCCTACTGCAGAATATGAGCCAAAATACAGTGAGGTCTTTTCGTTCCATGACGTCCTGAAGGCTGTGTACGACCAAACACCGAAAAATTATCCCAAAGTCCTAATAAAATCTTTACAAGGTGTACTGTTAGGTAAGTTGAACTTCCAAACTAACTGAAAAACCCAGGGGGTCATGGTAGAGCAAAGCATACATATAAAACAATCAAAAACGAATGTTCACAAATACACTGGCGAATAGCCAGTTGGCATACTTAAAGTTAGCTTCTGCAGGATATGATAGGGGTACATGTAATGGTTCTACAGACGTGTGGTTAAATTTAATAGATGAGCTCAGCATAGTTCCACCACCAGAATCTTGAATTTCGAGAGAAAAATTTAAGTTTCCGAGAGTCCCACTTCTTTAAGTAACACATAGCAGTGGCATGATATGGAAAGATATGTATTTATTGGGATGAAAAATACGCAGTTTAGTCCACAGGGATAAAATTGGGTGAACAGTTAATAACAATTATAATAAATGCAGCGAGAATGATAGAAATAAAAATTTTAGTGGGAAACATATGAAATGACAACAGCTATCCAGGGATTCGTAGTCTTCAAGTGAAGACAATATACGAATTGCAAACATCATACGGTTAAACGGGATAATGTAGGAAATATCTGCGTATTAAGGAAATATCAAAAATATCAACTACGCGAGTGATCAGTTTCGGAGTTATTTCCAATAGAAATAGCGAAAAGAAGAATCCGCAATAGGTTAAACCGTGATGTCTGAACGTAACCTTTAGGCCAATAAGCCTACAGTGGCCCGGTTAAGAACTTGATCGAATCTGGTCGGCAAACAATCAGTTACGGCGAGTTTTTTCAGTCTTACATTTGCCCTCTTATATTTTACAAAATACTTTTAACTGTGAGTGACAACAAACAGCTGACCACAGTGCTCCCCAGTTTGACACCTGCCTTTTTTGGCCACACAATGCGAGAGCATAGTTTCTGTGCGCTGAGGTCGACTTGCCTGAAAATGGTGGCACCAACTCACACTCGCAATTAATGGCAGTCATACTTGCTCTGCTTCGGGGATTGAGTAACTACGTAATCGCGCACGTGTTCACTCCGGAGGTAAGTTACCCCCCAAGAGACGCCTAAAGCAGCCAACAGCAGAGATAATCTCCCAGACCAATAGAGTCTTGCCGAACTCTTCTTCATTGTCCAGCTAGGTTTTCGCGAATGCTAGTTGTTGTCCAAAAATAACCTGTCCATCTATGTGGCCACGGCCAGTGCAAACTGTGCTTGAGGTACCTCAAGCGGTCAGTACCGATAATTTAGATGCTTCAACCGATAGAATCCTGTGAATATCGCTACGGCCAGTCACTGAATTCGGCTTGATAAGTAAAATAACTTCGAGTAGTGACTCTGAAGCGATAGAGTTATGATACTCTGCGATATGTAGTCAGACATGTCAAGTGTTTATGATGAGACTGGACCAAGATAGTCTGGTAGGGAAATGTCTCTAATGGCTATCCTATATCTTTCAAAAGCATCGGCTACAAATGGATCTTTACATATATATATATAAGTATAATTTCGGTCTCATGTCGTTGTGTGTAGGCTGGGGTAACGCATAGCTGACGCACGTTGCTATCGGTGTGGTAAAACAACATTCGTGGTCAGCGTGTTCAAGTCCAGAAGTAGTGTATCCCATTCCATTCCAGCCTCAATGCTTTTGAGAAAGTAGTCAGGTTTCTCTTCCA